ATCGTAGTTCTCTACCGTAATTGACATACGCCGGGGTAGCTTTTATGCTCTCATGCTCGGCGGTTCGGTACGACAGAAGGAAGAGTGGTATATACTTGTCCCAATCCTTTTGTTTGTCGTCTACCAATTTCGCCAGATGCCTCTCAAGGGTCTGGTTAAATCTCTCAACCATTCCATCAGACTGTGGGTTGCACGCGGTGGTCCTCGTCTTATGCATGCCCAAAATTCTACACACTTCCTGGAATACTTGCGATTCGAAGTTCCTGCCCTGATTTCCGCCCTTTGAAACTCTTGAATCGTAGTCAGCTTACGTTCTTGTGACTCTTGCAAAGCGCCGAACTTGCGTTCTTGTGACTCTTGCAAAGCGCTAATTAGTTCAATTAAACTTCCTAATTGAAGAGCCACTTCAGGGGCTGCAGAAGTTACGGTGCCACTGGTGGGCGTGGCAAGGTGGGCGGGGCCAGTGGGCGTGGCCCAGTGGGTGGAGTCAGTGGGCGGTGCTTGCACCAAAGGGGGCGGGCCTGAGCCCGAGTGGGCGGGGGCTGAGTCCGAGTGGGCGGGGCTTGTGTCTGAATGGGCGGAGTCCGGGGGGGGTTGTCAGTGGGCGTGGCCTGGTCGGTGGGTACAGTGGGCGGGGCTTGGTCCCCAGTGGGTGTGGCCTCCGCAGCTCGTGCCCTTGTCCTGACACCCTCCTTGAAGTCCTCTCTCGGAGTCAATGGCATCTCCAAATCCCACTTCTGACACCAGTTGTTACGTGTTAGGGGTTCGAAGGATTTGGAGAGAAAGACCTGCTGACTCTTTTGAATACTTTATTCAAGCACTAGGTCCAACACAAAGCACTAACGATGTCCTATTTTGTAGCCAAGTCGTAGGTTTCTTGTATCGCTCTTGATCACTAGTTTTCGCTCCGAAGTCGCCTCGAAGGTAGCTCAAAACTGAACTGTGATCGCTCGCCTCCCTGCGGCTTTTTATATGGGCCGAGACCGGTTCCGGACTAATCCAGAAAGATCATTCCTGGAACGTACCCAACACGCACGAACATGTTCGTGATTCCGGAAAGTTCGCGAAATTACCCGGTTTTCGAGACTATAGTTCCACAGCAGTTCCTCTAACGCCATCTAGTGTTGAATAGGGGGTTTTATGTCGTCTTTGTTCTTTAGTGGTTTTAATAGTTGACGCTAGATGGCGTTAGTTCCTTTGTGTGTTCATAACACTATTATCATATGAATGACATCTCGAGAAAGCTTCACTTCAGGGCAGGTCAAGCCCAAAGCTTATAAAACACGTACATTTTTATTAACAAAAAAACAGAACCGACTTCGAATATCTAGCTCGCTAAACACTTTCTATTTTATTTTAAGAACTTTCCCGATATAATTATCTCGGGGCCCGAAGGTCAAACACAAATTAAGTTAATGTTTAAGGACCACATGGTGGTTAAACCGAACCCAAGGCAATTTTTTTTTAAAATTAGTTAATAAATGGGCGATCGGTTCATGATGATTTCTAAGTAACTAACGTAAAAAATGCACCCGAATTGATCCTTCTTTGAAGTCTGTTGAAAATAATCCACCAATATCAGACACTGGAGCGACTTATGATTTATTACAATAGCTTATTAGTCTTCGCAATTTTCAATATCAGGGACAAGATTTTCTCTTTTTACGCTACAAAACAGCAGATTCGAATAAAATTGTAATGGGCATAATTTATACTTTTACTTAAACTTAAATCTGTGTTTAATAAATCAAATGTAAAATTTTTCAGCGATGACAGAATTCAAATCTGCGTCTTCTGGGTATTGCTGACCCACCAACGAACCTACCTACGCGGCCGCTATATTATATTCAATAATAAACAATTTTCTGAACCACCTGAGTATTTAAATAATAGATTACGAAAGAGGTAGGAGACGAATAAAAACAAATGTGATCTTGCTACAATTTTCTTTATTAACTAATCAACTTAAAACGTAATTTACATTTCATATATAATGCTAGACACCCAAAGCTCGTTTCAGCAGAATACATTTAATTACTTATTAAATTCCAAATAAAAATTATTTATAAATATTAACTTCTAATACTAACCCTGGTTTCTGTAACACTGATCATCATTCTGATTATTAAGATCATTTTGATCGAACAAGAGAGTTTAACCATTCTTTTGGCAACTCAAATAACATTTCAAAAGCCATTTGACAGCTTATTAGTCAATTTCTACGATGATCAGTGTTTCAGAAAACGGGCGTAACTGTTACATCAAAGAATTTCTCTATACAAGGATATCGCATCGACGCCCTGTTAATGGAACGAAAGTGTGCTTATACGCAATGTAAGCACACTTTCCTTTTTATTCGTTTTGATCACAAAGCCGTCAGGATGACTAAGTGTGCCTGCCTAAAAGACCCCAAATAAAACTTAACGACGCCAAAATGATGGTGTGACCTTTCCGCAGTTGGTTTATTTAAAAAGATTAACGTGCAATGATATATTTATATTACAAATACGTTGTTACGCGGCCAAAGTGAAGTCACGAAAACGTCCCAATTAGGATGTCTTGTCTTTAGTTCGCGTTAGGCAGGGCGGCGAGTAAGACACGGATTATAAAATTTTTTTTTGAAATTGAAGATTTGATTGTCTAAAAATTTACAGTAATAAAAATGCTGACGTGTGTCTATAAAAGTATGTATTTAACCAAATACGACTCTAAATTATTTTCCTAATATTTTAATTTATTTAAGGTTCGAAAACAGAGAATGGGGCAACAAATAGATGAGAAAAGTACGTTTGTTTTAAGGATCCTATACTTAGATCGATAATGTAAGCATCACGCAACTATTACATAATTACATCTTACATATCGATCAAATTGTTTTACATTACTGCTTGTTGACCGTGAACAATGAATAAAGCAAGGCGATGCTTAATATGTTGAACTTTGCCGCATATGCAAAGTTTCCGCTTTGTTTTTGTATGGCGTGACTTGCCTTTGTATAGACAAAGTCATTGGCTTATATATATATAAAATGATCAGTGAATAAAATAATAAATGCTATAACCACAAGCCCGTGAAGTCTAATATTGTGCATTTATTGTATATTTCTTGGTTGCTACCTGTCCATCATCATGTCAGAGTATTTGATTACACTTTATTTATTATTTTAATAAGTTTTCTCAAGAAGTCTGATCTGATACGATGCCATGAGGTCGGTACTCAGTTCGTTATTACTGATTCTTTCATTTTCGTTTATACGTACTACATTAAAAATGAAATTTGGCCATGTTAGTTATTGTTAGGTGCTCCAATATTCTTACTTCGAATAGACTGCTCTAAGGTTGCAATGCTTTTTTCAACTGACAGCTGTAGGGATGCGATGTGGTCCGCGTCACGAATATTGGGTGTTCTGATATGCTTCTTCGTAAATAGACAACACCAAGGATACGATTTAGTGGGGATTACGGTCTTACACACAGGTCTTGCAACTCTGGTTTTCGAAGTGCGCCTCGAAACGCGCTAAGCTGCCTCACCGATGACGATAATCTTAAAACCTTATTATTATATTAAAATTTGTAGAAAATTACGAAAACATTATGGCCGCTGTGGGTATCGAACCCACGTCTTGGGCATTCGCCACCTGACGCTTTAACCACTAAGCGAAACGGCTGATTGCCACACCGATGAAAATCTTAACGTGTTTATCTACATTGTTTTTTAGCATTTGAAGCAATGCTTGGCGCATCTATTGTTATATCCTTTAATTAGGTTAGGTTGATGCGTCCCTCGATCACGACGCCATGTGCATATTTCTTCAACAGTCCAGTCACCCCTCCATATAGGAATTGTACAGTTTCAGAAGCTTCTGCGGATTCAGCTACAAGGCCTGTATGTAGGGCTGTGATCATCGTGTTCTAATGTTTTTTTAAACAGACAACATCGCTCGTCTGCCTTCAACAGTGCAGTTGCTTTTGACTATCGGAGTACTACAGTTTCAGAAGCTTCAACGGATTCAGTTGCAATGTCTGTATACAGTGTGTCGTTACCATCGCGACAATAAATGAACACACGTCTAACGCTACTTGCCAATTATCATAAAAAAATATTAACGTTAAACAAAATCCATAATATAAAAAAAATATTTTTCAAACAAACTAATTAAGTAAAAAAGAAACAAAATTTGTAACATCCTATACAACTCGCGCCACAGCGTCGTATTATAAGCCTCTCCTTCTAATCGTATGTTTTGTCTCTTTTAAATTCATTCAACCCATTCATATGCTTTGTGACCTTTACAAATGAACTTTACGTTACGCTTTTATAGGTAAGGATGTTCTAAAATTCTGTTTTGGAAAATTTAATTACTCTGTAAATATTGATGTTTAAAGAATGTAAATTTTTAATACAAGTTTAAAAATTTATCCTCTATATGTGTGTTCATTTATTGTCGCGTTGGTAACGACACGCTGTATAAGGCCGTGATCATTTTGTTCTGATGTTCACTTTTTAAAAGGAACAGCACTAACCAGGCTCTCAGTATTATCTACAACAGTGAAGTCGCTGCTAGCTATTGGAATTCTACGGTCACAGAAGCTTCTGCGGATTCAGTTGCGAGACCTGTATGTAAAGGCCCATGTACACATTGGCCCAACGCATTGAGCCAAAGCGTTTGCGTTCGCAGTGTGTAGCTGTTCACACATTTGCCTACTGCTCATTGTAACGCGCCCAGATCCTTGGATGTGTGCTTAAAAAACCGACACAATGCGGATGGCCGGCCAACGTCAGCGCCAACTACGATTTGTCACAAACGTTTCGCAAAATAGCCCTCTACACATTGGTCCAATGCATTGGCCCAATGGGTTGGCCGAGTGTGTACAGGGGCCTTAAAACCGTGATCACGGTGTTACGGTGTTCTTTTTTCCAACGTGCGACATTGGGGCGGCGCTCGGTCGCAGCTCAGCGCGCCCCTGGGGCGGCGTGCTGCCTGCCGGCCGGGTGGGTCAGGCGAGGTGCGACAGGTCGTCCAGCTCTGGCGGCGGCTGCGACGGCTGGCCGGCGCGCGCGAACACCGGCTTCGCCATCACCGACACGGGCGCCTGCCGGTGGCCGGTTCACAATATGGCCTGGTTACTAATGTTTTTTAAAAATATTTTTAGGACACATTTTCAAACAACGTTTTCTAGTCCCAAACTAAGCAACGCTTGTACTACGGATACTAGAAAACTAATAAACACACCTAAACATATTTTTCTTTTTGTAAATAAATATATATTGTACATATATAAACACTCAGAAGCTAGAAAACACTATGTTCATCACACAATATTTTTCCAGTAGTAGGGATCGAACGCACGCCCTCTGGCGCAGGAGGCAAGTACACTACTCTCTACGTCATTCGGGTCTTCTAGTGTCCGGTTCATATATTCAACGAACGGCTGTTGGTTACATACCTTCGTAACATTCATAACGACTCGTAGATAAGAGACGTGTACGCCGCGTTCCTATGTTAACAAAACGAAGCGTTTTCATTTACGAGGCGTTTTCTTTACGAGCCGTTGCATTAGCCACAGAAGTGAGTTACTAGCGTCCCTTTAATCTACAAGTCGTTATGAAAGTTACGAAGCTATGTTACTAACGGTCCGATGTGGTCCGCGTGAACCGGTCATAAGGCGTTAATTCAACTAGAACTTGAAATTGTGCAGTAAAACTGTCGTTATGTGTTCCGCGACCACCCACACTGTCTCTTTAATGAGGCTTTGATTTAATTAGAACTTAAAATGTGCAGACAAATCCGGACGCTCTAGCCGCTTAGCTCAGCGGCAGCGGAATAGAATCAGCAAAAAATTGAAAGAGTGAAAAATTTTCGAATACCAAAATTCTCGCTAAACAGCTGCTACGTGGCTTTTACCTGTCTAAGCTGTGGTTAAGTTAGCACGGAGTAGACGAGTAGCTAAGACGGTTGTTAAATAACATACGGATTTTTTCGCTATTAACTTTGCTTTTAATTCCGTACATTTGGAAAGCTGCGTATTCCACGACCATGGACTCGTGTAAAGTGTTCGAAACGTTTGGAATTAAAATGCAAAATTAGGGTTTTTTGACATTTAGCTAAAAAGCGTTTTAAGCTTTTGTTTCGTGTTTACGTACATGCAGGGATTGCAAGTCTGTGCTGTCTCAGTTACCTGGCTGTGCTGCGGCTGGGCTGTGGTGGACGAGGCCGCCTGCTGCGGCGGCATCCCCACCACCACCACCTTCTGCGGCGCCCCACCGCCATTTGCACCGCCCGCCGGCCCGCTGGTCACCACCACCGACTACGCACACCATGCACTATACTACCGCCGCACGTCACACTTCCAACCGAAATCTGAAGTGACAACTCGTCCTCGTATGGAACGCGCAAAACTTAAGCGCAATAGGTACAGTCGATTACAACATTCAGAGTTAACGCTAGAAACTTATCTTGTGTAACAACTGTACTAATTGCTGTGGGAGCAAGACGGAAAGCAATTTAATTTTTTGTGCGCGAATGAGAGGTACGTACTCGTACTTCACCACTCGTACTTCCGAGATGGATTGAAGATTTGCGCGCCCTATGTACGATACAAAATGCAGTTGGGCATTCGCATTTTAAGCGTGCAAGTTTCCGTAAGGCGCGCCCATTCTACAAATGGGTGAATTTACTTTGAGCTCGATAAAATTATGCAGGTTTAATGATGTACATAGAGACTTGTCGAGAGCCTAAATACGATGCTGAAAATACGTTCTTAATAATTTTAAATAAGAAATATTTTTTTATTCGGTTGTAAATATTTCGTATTTGGTTTTTTGGTTGCTATCCTATTTTATAAAGGCGAAAGAAAAGAGACAAAATAACTTCTTGTACATGCAATTTCATTATACTTCCTTTCCTAAAATCATGCCTCAGTCAAACCGCATACGATACCATAGAAAACCAGTAAACATCATTAAAAACCTTTTACTTAAACTCGCATACAAATCGCCAATAATCAAATTGATTACCTGCACATTTTGACTTCGTACTATAGTAGGCTGAGAGCTGTGTACAATATGACCCGCGCTACTTGACGCTTGGACCTGGAAATTCAACTTAAATTATAAAAACGTCTATCTCATTATAATGTACTTATGTGTGTGCGTAATTTTTGTTGCTGAGAACCCATATTAAAAGAAATTTATGTTCCATCACCATCGTATTACGCCGCATCGTATATTTCAGACATAAGATTAAAAACATTATTTTCTTTATTATTGGACCATGATTTGCCTTTCAGTTCTAGGGAATGTGCATAGCTCACACATAAAATATGAGAAAGACTGAGCCTCTTAGCTCAGTTGGTAAAGCCTCTAGGCGTTTTACCCGTAAGACGCAGGTTCGAATACCGCAGCGCTCAAAGTTTTTGTTCAGTTATGTACAAAAATTCACATTTTACAATGATAATGACAAATTACTTCTACACGCGACTTTTTCAAACCTTAAAAATACACTGTGGTACGTTTTTGTACTTGTGGTACGTGTAAAAATGTTATTAGTTCATACTTCTTTTGGCGCGTTTGGGGAAAATGATGAGTATTTTTTTCGATGTGCGATATCTAAAGGCGTATGGTGTATAGGTAACCATGGCAACCAATAAGAACTTTTGCCATTTACCTAAAAACCCTAGTTATCTGGTTAAACCGTTATCAATTTAATTTCATTTCTTTTTATTTGTCACAACAAAGAGTTACTGGCCGGCACACGGATTACTTTTGTTACGCTAAAGAAGTATTAAGACTTCTTACGAACGTTGAAAAGTACACACACGCTGTTCACTGCTTTTACTACCTGCGGCGCCTTCTGCTGCGACACGATGACGAACTTCTGCGGCGGGGGCGTTGCGGGCGCGGAGGACTGCTGCGAACCGCCCGCCGTTATCACCACGTTACGCGTCGTCAAGGTCTCTGTGTTAGAACATACACTTTATTGATTATTGTACGTCCTACCGCTGTGCTGAGGCCCAATGCGTATTGCCATACTTCACCTATACATATCTTCACTAGTTGTGCCCGCGCCTTCGTCCGTGTGGAATCACTGCGTATACTACGTAGTAAAACAAAGTCGTCCCGCTGTCTGTCTGTCCCTATGTATGCTTAGATCTTTAAAACTGCGCAACGGATCTTGAAGCGGTTTATTGTTTTTACTAGATAGAGTGATCTGATTTTGAGTGAAGACCGCCACCCGCGGATATCTACAACAGCTACGGGCTGTTGACAACAATAAAGTTTGGACGCCGGTTACCTCACTCATCAGAAGAAACGGGAAAATGCAATATTGCCACTTCACGCTAGGGTTCCGGGAAGAGCCAGACCATACGTGCAAAATCAGAAGCTGCCTTCGTACAGTAAAAATACATACATATCCTTAGATTCAGAGTTCAAACTGCGTTCACGGCCGGCGCGGCACTTGGCAATGAAACTTAGTTGCAATTTAATTATATTAATAAGCGCCAATTTGCTGCGTCGATATTAGAGGATAACTCGAAACTGGGGAGACCAGCGCAGCTGAGAGATAACAGAAAATATATCGAAAATTTCAGAAGACGAGGCTTTAACCGAGATTTAAGTTGAAGATGTTTTAGTAGGCTGTTACCTACTAAAACATCCTCGAAGCACATAAGAAACAATCAATGTTCTACGAAAGTTAATTTGAGATAATCTTTAAAAAAAAGTTAAATACATTATTGTTTGATTTTTTTGCATCGTAGTATTAATTATTTGAGTATTTATAAGGAAGAAGAGAAGAAAATAGTTAAGTTCTTTTTATATAATACTAGCTGTCTCGGCAAACGTTGTTCTGTCATATAAATTATTATAAAATATAAAATTATAAAAAAAGTAAAAATTTTATATAAAAAAATAGAGGTGGACCACGTTTCACATTAAGGGGGATGAAAAATAGATGTTGTCCGATTCCCCACCCTGGCCGATATGCACACAAAATTTCATGAAAATCGGTCGAGCCGTTTCGGAGGAGTTCAATTACAAACACCGTGACACGAGAATTTTATATATTAGATGAAAGATAATAAATTGAACTATTCCTTATTGTATTATGTTTTATAAGAGTGTGATGCTATTTTAAACATGTTTTAATCTCTAATAAGTAAATAAACTTATTAAATTAGTTGGTAACGTTTATGTTTTCACTTATTACGTTTATACATGATTGCATAACAGTGAAATGTCATCAGATCATGCCTCCCTCTTTTTATTGAAAATGTTGTTTAAAGCATAAATCATTAATGCTTCAGTATAATTATGTACAATGTAGTGTATGTGCGTTAGAGTAAACATTTACCAGTTATACGCATATATGTTTTTGTTATTTATTTACGTATTATGTAAATGCATGAAATGTAGCGCTCTTTTTCGGAGACAAACATTCATTTTTCCCCTTAACATTAAAGAGTAAGTGAGGCAGAGAATGAATGTGTTGTACTAAGCAAGACATTCTATTTTCAGATGTCCCACGGGAGGACTTAGTCTTAGTTCATCTCTCCCACGTCGCGTTGCTATTTCCGAACACATGTAGTCTTTATGATAAAAATATTTTAAAGTACAACTCTTTCAGTGCAATAAAAGTATTATGCATATCTCATTGACGTATAAATGCCTTCATCCGATGTTCATAAGTGATTCATGTACACCTCCCTCTGCTCTCTTCTTTATGTCTCATTAGCAAATATTCTTTTCACAATGGTTGTCTGGAAGAAATCGCTTTCTGAGCGATAAGACCGCCTATTGTACTTCCTTTTATATTCATTTGTAATTTGCTTTTTATATATTTTTATTTTTGGTGTACAATAAAGTATAAATAAATAAATAAATAAATAAAAGTATTATGGTAGGGCTACGCAGCAGCGCTGTTGCACGAATAGGTAGGCTTATTTTCATTGACGTACCACGCACTTACGGATAACCGGCGTGATCACTTTCGCGTTTTCTGGTGAGTGAAATAAGCAGGGGTCAATATTTCCAACGGCTCATTAAAAAAAAACCACCAATGGTTTAGCGAACCGGTGGTAGATTGTTTTTTGTCGTTCAATAAGAGCTTAAATAAGGCGTATATTGAATAAAGAAAATTTTGACTTCGACTTTGGAAGGGAATACGATAGATCTCTCTAGGTCGCAGAGGACGTCGGGTCTTCCTACACAACCCCTTCGACACAAAATACGAGCGCAATACAATCGGGTGGGCCGGCCGGCCGCTCGGCAACTTTTCCCATAAAAGAAAACTCCATTGGGACTCGCCTGCGGGCTTGGACGGAGCGGGCGCGGTGGGCGTAGCCTGTGGCACAAGCGGCGGCGTGCACGTCACAACCGCCACCGCCCCCCCTCCCCCACCGCCGGCGGGCGAAGTGCGCAGCTTGCTCACCATCTGCTGCAGGCTCGGCCCCAGGTACCCGTAGTCGCGCCTGCAAACGGACACGTGCAAAGAATTTTCGTTAGCTTGAAAAACAAAACCGACTTCGTGTGTCTGATTGTGTTTTATTTGATCACGAGGAGTTAAAGTTATAACCTGCGGGGGCAGTTCGCAAATGGGAAAAAACTAAATAAAACAAATCAAGTTCCCCTGTGATAAATGTGCATACAGATTATAAAACGTTTACATTTTGAATTGTCGACATTGCGAATGATAATCGTTACTAATATTATAATGGCGAAACTTTGTATGTATGGATGGGTGTTTGTTACTCTTTCACGCAAATACTACTGGATGGATTTAATGAAACTTTACAATAATATAGCTTATACATCAGAATAACACATAGGCTATAATTTAAATACATATTTTTATATACATATATCTGTCTTTTTGTCTGAATGTTACGCCTTCAGTCTTATTCTACACAGACGTAGTCGCGGGCAGCAGCTAGTCAATCATATAAACCCACTTATATTCGTCCGGAACGTCTGGCGGCTGGCGGAGCTGGCGCACGACTGGGGCGAGCACCTTGAGCAGTTGGTGCTTGAGGTTCCCGGCGGCTAGTCGGTCCGCCCCGCCCAGTCCGCTCAAAGCGCCTTCCACACGCTCGCCCAGCCACCGTACGCGTGGTAATATGAACACCTTACCGATAAAAAACATGTCGTAAATTAAAAAATAATGACTCCGTTATATAGTCCACATACAGTCAAACCTGACTGAGTACTGGATATTTGTGCGTAGGCCTCTATAAGTCAACAGCTACTTTTCTATATAAGCAACAGTCGAGTATGTGCCTAACACTCGCGGTTACTTATTTTATTCATGTTTATGACATTGTTAAATTTCTCCGAATTTCACACAAGTCTAAATAGTAGCGTACAGTTTATGTTTTAAAAATTTCGGGGAACACAGGTACTTACATTGTCTATGGGCATATTTGGCCCTCAGATTGACAAAATCAATAAAATATACGGATTGCAAATAGCCCGGTCAAATTAGCTTCAAAAGTAGGGATTGGTGATGAGAGCTTGTAGAGTACGTACTTTCATTAAAAACGTCATTACAATCGACCAAAATCTTGTGTCTCAAGACTCAATTTGTAGAGTCTGTCCTTGTGTTAGCACCGATTTTTTCAGCAATGGGTGGCCTAGCAAGTTGAAATTTATACCATACACTGAGGTGTATAATCCCTATTAGTTGTATAAAAATGATGGTCCTGAATCAACACGATAAAAAGATATGGGCAAATTTAGTTTTTCGCAAAAACTTGAAGTACCAAAATTTACCTTAATTTAAATTTATCTTTCGGAATTTACCCTAGTACTTGTGCTGTAAGACCTTGCTATAAACCAAAATTGTACCGGAAGTAACCTATAGGTCGAAAACCTATATGGTTATGGAGGGGGCCTTTTCCCAGCTGTGGGACATTTATAGGCTATTACTTTACTTTTTTAAAGTTATCCTCGATAGTTACCATTTTAATAGTTATTTTGTAATAAATTATGGAATACTTTTTTACTAACTTTCACAACCTCCGAACCCAGCTCAGCCAAACCTTGAACTGCTCCATATAAAGATGCAAGTGGTGTTTTCTCCGACTCTTTCATAGTAGTCACCATTGATGGACCATTGCCAGTTTCATTATTAGTTTGAGATGGACATTGTAACGCTTTTGCAAATAATCTAAAATAATGGAAAGTGCACATTTTATTTGTTTATGTAGTCACGAAATTAACAAATTTTGACTAAAAAAATATTTACCTAGTAACTCTAGTCTGAAGATTATTAGTTGATGTATTAAAAGTTTTGCATATTTGAGCCATTAGGCGTGCAGCAAAATCTCTCAATGCCCAGTGATTATCCATTTCTGGTCGTAGGCATAACTGACGTGATACTATGCATGTTGATACTGATGGAATCAATTCATGTAACTATATGAAAAATATCACATTATAATTAATTAGTTAGTAATTAATACAGTTACACTATAGTGAGGAATCAAAGTGTTAAGGGTAACCTTACATATTTTTCCAAATAGAGAGACTGATTATCAAGTAGAGCCTTAACCATTCTCATTAAGTATATAAGAAGAGCAAGGTTATTTTGCACAACATTTACTTTCACCCCCTCTGAAATGAAAGTGCACATCCTTGGTAACATCTCATGTAAACCTGGATCGCATGCCAGTGATTGCAGTGCTTCCTGGAAATAACAGAGAATATTGAAAAACATTCTAGGCACTATACATTATTACTTATTACCATTTATTAAATGAAACAAATTTTATGGATCTTGTCACATCTAATTTAAGCTTCTGAAGTTTCAATTGCATTGCAAAATAGTTTAAAGTTATTATTATTTTCAGATCCATAAAAAGTATTTTGAATAAAAATTTCCCAACTTTTAGTATTTTGCATATAGACGATGAAATGATTTCTTAGAAATTTAAATTTTGTTACATTGCTAATCTCTGCACTTAAGATTGAACATTAAAATTTGTAGAAAAAGTACGAAAAGATTGTCGCCGCTGTGGGAATCGAACCCACGTCTTCGGCATTCGTGGCCTGACGCTCTAGCCACTGAGCTAAACGGCTGATTGCGATACCGTCGAATATCTTATCGTCTTTTATCTGAATTAAATGATTTCTCTTTACCCGTTCACCATCCCTATACATAATAAAAGTTTATCGCGTAATAGTTTTGATTGCCATTTAAGGATTATTCCATAATAAAGGTTTTTTTTAACATATTTTCAATTATATAACAAAACAACAAATTTACCGCACGTCGACCTTCATCACTTCCAACGCAAGCTTCAGTTATTTCCTTGTAATACAATTGCTGTTCCACACTTAATTCATGAGTAGCCAATTGCTTAACATGTACAGATTCAGAAGCTTTTAATCGTGCTGCTTTTCCACATACTGGTTTTCCTGAAAATTAATCCGAATAATTGAGGCTTTAGTTGTTCTACTGACTATATTGATATTGGTTGAAATTAAAATAATTATTACCAGCTGAATCTTTATTATTAGGCTTGCTTAGCTTTGTAATAGGATCAACTGATTCGAGCTTTTGAGCTTCCTTTGACAATGGTGGTGGATTCTCTGGGACAGCTGGTTGCACACCATCTACACTTAACCAATGTGCTCTAACTGAAACATCTAGAGGAATTTTTGGTGGGGGCGCAGACAATATTTCAGATAAATCTATTTCTTTTTCTTCCACAAAATGTAGCTCTCTGCCACCACCGGATGCAAATCGAAATGGTAAGGAGTCTGGTTGTATGAATCCATATTGACACTAAAACATTTTTAAAATAAAACAAATCAATATAAATTTTTGCTAAAACTTACATTTTGAGGCATTTAGGAACAACTAAGGGTGGATTGGACCAAAACACAAGTTAATGGTTAAAGTTTATTTTGAAAAAGACCATTATCAGTTATAATAACCAAGATGAAATGCACCATTGAATAGAATATGACACTTAATGTTAAAAGTGTTACTGGTCAAATTGAGAAATAAGTCTCCAAAAGAAACAAGAAAACTATTATATACATATATATATAATTGTTATAATAAAGGTTTATTTTAGAGATAAATAAAACTTACACAAATGTGAGGATTTTTAAAAATATGTGAGGTTACATGTACTTCTTAAATATACTGGGAGGCTTTTCTAAGTGTATCCATTTTTTATGATTAAATTCTAGACATAAATAATGAATTATAAAAAATTATAAATATTTAATATCACTCATTAGTAATTATTTACATTCCTTTGAACTTATCTCAAAAAGTGCGTGATTTATACGCAACTCATTTATTTTACGCGCGATCATTCATAACTAACACGCACACAAGTTCGTTTCAAAAGTATACGACGAATAAATGTCGCCACCTATCTATATACATTGTGACACGCACACAACTAAAGTTTGTTACTACACAAGTATCATAAGCACAAGTAAGTTTATAATTCCAATTTTCCTTCATACTTAGAATGGGCCGTCATAGGACTGTCATAATACTAAAATACTACTTTATTAGTTTAAAATCACACACTATTGTTCGTACTTATTACGGCGTATTAAATCTTAAAATCAACTATTTACAACAATTAAACTTCCATATTCATTTAGTCACAAAAAAACACTCATTGATATTTTAATAATCGTTCAAAATGGCCTCCCATTTCTCTCTCAATACAAAGCTGAGCACGCCCTCTCAAACTATTTTATAACATTACTTGTGTCTGAGCATTATATACGCCGGTGTAGTACATTGTCCAAAATGTAATAATAACCTTTGGTGTGCTGCCAAAATCAGCCTTCGATTAGGTACACTTGAGTTCATTGCCTGTCTTTTTAAACACGGTAAAGAGTCACTTTTATAAAGTCAAAAAGTGCACAAAGCACCACATAAAATTTCACCATTTAAAATGTAACACCGGATCATCTCGTAATACTCGCGGTTGTAATAAAAAAAACTTGTTTTAATTTTAATAAATGATTATACTACTAAGTCTGAACTTTTTGTGTAAATTTGGGAACTTCTTGTCTACCTGTATGTATGTTCATTTATATAAGTAAAATTTTGTGTAAAATTAATTGTATATCTATGTGAATGTTAAGCAATGTTTCAGTTAAATTTTCATCCACTAACAAAAGTCTAAATAACTTGGGATTACCATGCATCTGTTCTATATGAATGATACCATAACGTAAATTGCATGACTCATAATTCTCGGATGAATAAATTATTTTATTTTTAGTAAAAATAAAAGGTAAAAAATAAAGTTATATTTAACGGATGCTATAACACCTAACATATCTGTCATCATGCAGTATAACATAATACAAACATTAATTTCTGAAAGCCAAGGGCTAGACAGAGTGGAAATCGGATCTACATTTTCTCTGCCTATCTCAGTGATTCTCAACCTTTTTTTTGTTGCGGCACATATTAAACAATTTCAAAATTTGGCGGCACACAAAGAAAAAGATAAAAATTATTTACTTACTACAACACACTGCATAAATAGTTTATGACAAAAATTTTAAATAAACGAAATAAACTAATATATACTACAATAATAACTAAACGTTTATTAAGGGATTAATTACAATTACATAATAATAAAAATATTTTTAATGTGAAATTTGAGCTTGATGTTTTTTGATAATTTCATTTATATTTGGTTGTAAAAATGACAATGCTACTCTCATATTGTCTTCTACATTTAACAATCTTGATCTTTTTTTAGTTTTAATGTTGGCTAATGCTAAAAAATATTTTTCTTTTTAAATGATATAATTTAATAATATTAACATTATTATATATTTGCAAAATTTGGCGGCACACTTTTGAAATTTTGCGGCACACAAAAGTGCCGCGGCACAGTGGTTGAGAATCACTGGCCTATCTAGACTCATGATTGGCTCCTTCCACATTGGTATGCGACAGTGCATATTAACACTGGTAATGGGAACTGACCAGGCCAACAATAAATAAAATTTTCAGGCGTTTTTTTTTTTTCAAAGTTTCCATCAAAGATATGAATTAATAAAAAAAAATAATGACAATTGAATAAACTAACAATTCTTAAGCTTCCTTGAGAATTTTTTTAGTTTATTTTTACTAACTCATTAAAATTTGGTTACTATAATATTCAGTATATAATAGTAACCAAATTTTATTTTTATGAGAAAAGCCAACAAGCGCGCAAGCCTTTCATCTGACATTAAGTAACTACAGATGCCATGGACATCTACAACACCTGATGCATGCCTGAGCCTGGCTATTTGTGTAATAACAAAAGCTTCTGCAAGGCTCAACCACAGTAAATATAAATAATGATATATAGGTAATTTAGATGACAGTAACTTATTGTGACCCAATAATTGAAACAAGTAATATACTCACACTTCACGAATTTTTCCTTCAAACTTTTATTTATAGTAATGACTATACTAATAATCCTAATAATATACTTATATTAAATACAAAAATAAGTAATTTATTAATTACCTCGATATTTTTTATTTTCAGAGCATGGTCTACGTCAGTTATAGACAATTTCTGGCGTTTGGAATGGTGCATAAATTTCATAGCATCTTGTACAATAATTTTAAGTCTGTATGATACATCGTCAGCCAGTTCCTTTGCGGCATCGTCACCAAGACTTGCAATACCTACACTTTCAGCTATGACTTTAATGGAATCTACTGTTATAGAAGATCCATAAGTTAATTCAGAATCACCCATAGTAAAATTTCAACAAAACAAAAACTAGAGTGGACTTTAAACTTTTCTTGAATTTATTACTTAGAAAAAATTAATTACACATTAATTCCAACTAATTTCTGTAATAAACACAAACAAATTATTAATTACAAACATCAATAACAATCATTTGAATCATGTTCATTTGACAAGACAAGACATAGATAAGTGATAAGACATATATTCTATTCTCTATAAATATTGCAAGACAAGACAGACAAGTGAGACAAGACTGAGACTCCCCTCTATATAACATTTACTCTTTGGACAAGACAAACTGACAAAAGCAGTAACAGTATAACTTGAGTATAACTTTACCCTTTGCGTATAACATACCAGACAGAGTCATCAGTAAGTATAATTTGGCTTATCTTGTATCTTGTATTAACTGATGTTTTTGCTTTCAGTCCCGCGACTATTAAAGCTTCACCTGACGCAGAACCGATGGACTAGCCAGGGTTTGGGCCCTCCGCTGTGGGTAGGGCCTAGCATGTGCTCATGTGTGCGTTTAATTATTGTTTGTCATCTAAGGGCCATCGAGGTCGCGGTTCGGACCGAAACCCCGATGGCCGTCGACTGTGCAATTAGCTAATCGATGGCTGGGAGCGGTGAAAACCGCCCCGGAACGCGGGTGTACCTTGTGTACGCGTTGTGTTGGTCTCGCCGTGCTTGGAGGCGAGGGTGAACTAGTGTTTGTTGTTGCACTAACTGTGGATGTAGTGTTATCCGGCGGGGACCCCCGGCGGTGGATCCGACGTATCTAAGTCCCCTTCCTCGACTGGGTCGATGAGGACGTTTCGCAGGCGACGCTTGTTGACGTTCGTGTTTGTGTCGGGTTGGTATTTAGGTGCGCTTACCACCAGAGGGTTGGGATGATGTTCGGCTCTATCGAATAACCGTTTAGTCAGGTCTTTAAAATATTCGCGAATCATCCGGAGTCTGCAATCGCTGTGCGGGTCGACGTTGCGTTGATACCACTGCGCACCGGCTGCGCGGCGGATGAACTTATTTTGTACTATTTGCAATTTGTATAAGCGAGTAGGGAGCGTGTGGACGAATGTCATGCATGCGTAGGACAATAGATCGTACGCAGGTTTTATATAATAATAATTTGTGCCTTAAGGGCATTTTACTTTTAGCATTAGTTAATCATAATCATAATCATCATAATCATCTTTATTTGCAGAAATATGGTAGATAAAGATTTTCAGTATAGACAAAAGTACAGACATATTTCGCCTCATTGGCATGCAAATATTTCACAAATAAATAATATAATTAACAACACAATCTAAGTCAATCAAATACTATTAATTACCTAAATTAAAACAAAATGAACAAAAATTGTCGAAATTTTAAGCAATAACAAATGATATCAATCACAAAAATAAATAGAATATAATGTCATAATTCAATACAATCATAATTACAGTAATTGAGAAAAAAAAATATTAATATGTAGTATTTTATGTGTTTTATATAATAATAACATAATTCTTGCAGGGTATAAAAACATTTATATATAACAACGTCTGAGGGCATTTCGAAAAAAATTAAATTTTAGTTCTCGAAATTCTCTTGGTATTTTGTTATATATTTTAATACACATGAAATGAATATTTTTTTTAAACAATGTTGTTCTACATTTAGGTATTCTTAAGAGTGTTTTATCTCTTAGACGAAGTCTTTTGTCATTGTCATTATCAAATAATGTTTCAAACAGGTGAGGATGTTTTTTACAAATGAACCGATTTCATATATATACAAGCAACACAATGTCATGATTTTTAATTTTTTGAATAATGGTCTACATGAGTCTAGAGGTCCACGCCCACATACTGCTCTAATACATTTTTTTTGCACTAGGAATGCTTTTTTGGCGGCGACCGAGTTTCCCCATAACAAAAGTCCATATCTCAACACAGATGCCACGTAACCATGGTAGGCAATCATCGCTGTTTCTTTACTTATAAAACTGCTAAGTCGTCTTAAGGCGTAGACATATTTGTTTAATTTTCTGCATATAATATCTATGTGATTTTTCCAACAACAGTGTTGATCTAGTACTAATCCTAAGAATTTAATGTCATTAACATTTTCTATTTCTTGATTATTATTAATAACTTTAATTACAGGTGTTCGTGTGTGATAAGTACCATGTATTTTGTTTTAAATAAGTTAGGGCATAGGCCATTACCTTCCAACCAATTTACAACGGATTCCACAGCATTGTTAACAAGTTTTTCATATTCTGATAACTCAGTCTTTTCTGTTACAATTATAGAAATATCATCAGCATATAGAATGCATTGGTGATCAACGGCAGATGGTAAATCATTAATATAAAGGATAAATAGTAATGGTTAAATTGTGTAGCCGGCCGGAGACGAACGCAGCTCTATTATGAATGATATTAATGTTGATTGGTAATATCAGATTATACATACTCTTTTGATGTCAACTCTGACCTGTTTTATTTATATATTATGTTTGGATTACTTTAAATTTGGAATGTTAGTTTTATTTGTTCAGACTGAATTGTGTCATAATTGATTGATTCTGTTAAAATCGTTTGGAGAAGTAACATACATAGTTCTGACATAACTCTTGTATTTTATATAAATTCCATAATGATTACGTTTCGTTAAAAATAAGTTCAAAATGTTAAAGTTGAAATAAATAGTTTTCTTATCAGTCCTTAAGTGTCTTTTTGGCTTGAAAGTGATCCCATTAACCACATCTACCATTCAAGAATTAATGTGCGTAGTAAATGACATACGCGAGTCGAAATTGTCTCCTAAGTCTTTGACCTTTTTCTCCCAGGAGAGAGGTTGGCCATAAAGGAATATTTGCCCCAACTTTCTGCATTGGCGAGGGCCGTTATGAAGATGTGACGGGTAAGTACTTCGTGTGAAGTGAATTGCCACACTCTTTTCGGCATTTACTTCTATTCTCCATTTGCAGAACCAATCGCCGGGGCGGTCGGCGGCGCTTTGGAGTCGAGCGGTTAGTTGACTAAGGTTGACTAAGGTCTGAGTATAAGAGCGCCGTGTCATCCGCGAAAAGCGCGAGATTTTTTTGATAATTTGGCCTAAAGGTCCTAGATACCGGGTCAAAATGCAGAAAGTATAAATGAATGTCAAAGAACAGATTAAATATTAAACAAATTGCAAAAATTAATAAATAAATTTTCATGCTTAGATTTCCCGTTCTTCCTCGATCTTCCTAACTTGCCTCAGCGTACGACTCCTCGTATTAGGAGTCGTACATAGAGTAGTCAGGAAGCCCCTCAGCGCTGATCCGTATCGAAACGGTCGGCACAACTACCAGTCCCTCCCTGTAGTACACTGTATTACGAAGAATATCACACTCACTTCACGCCGCTTTTCTATGAGGTGCAAAAGCAGGAACTGCTGCATGGCCCTACTACAGTAAAGTACCAAGTTATACTGAAACCTCCCCAACTTTGTCACCATTTTGACATAACTTGCCATGAAATTCGCCTTGCCGGGTTCACCGAAAAGAGTCAATGTGGCTCCTAGGTGGAAAATCGTTGGGTATTGCGAAACATGAAACGAATGCATTAGTCAGTACGAGTCCGTCATAGTCCGTCCATTGGTATGCGAAGGGGTATTTACGCTATAATACTAGAACCCCGGCGTTGTGAGTTTGAAGACGGCCGAACTTCGCACCATCGCCCAAAGATTACATGTCCGTTAAGGACGCACAAAAGAATCCCAAACGGTTCAATGACTGACACAGCAGCATCACGCGTAAGCATCATTGATATAAGAATATAAGAGGATATGCCCTTTATTGCATATACAATTTCTCGTTATACAAATATGATGCAAATATACACCTCAATTACAAAAACATATCTCTCTCACTCTAACGCGTTGTAATTTACAAATGTAAATAAAGTACAGTATATGTCAGAAATTTCAAATTTTTGTTTTAATTTTCCGTTACGTCACGAAGCCGCCTTGAACCACATTTTGTGACATGCCACCATTTTAGGTCTACACTTTTCTAAGTACTTCGACTGTCATATAATTGCTGTTCAAAAATTATTATCATTTTAATAGTGAATTGTGTGTGTTCTGGTCATTTCTGAAGTGTTTGTAAAGATAAGTGGAAAAAAAAGTTATTCGAATGCTGGAAAAAACAACGAAGGATTGACATATTTAGGTTAGTTCCAGTTTTTGTATTTTTTTGTACTTTTTCGTATGTGATACTACTTGTGTATGTAACAGAAATTGTACATATAGTGTTATTGGTTATTTTTTATTCTTCTAACTACTACTAACAACTAAAATAGTCAATAAGTAAATATTTGCAATGTTTACATGAATACGTAGTGTTGTTCATAGCATAGTTGTTTGTAAATTTTATCGAGACTATTTTTTTTTTGGCTCCACTCGTCAAAGTATCAATTTCGTTACCACGAAGTAGTATTGATAGTCAGATTAAAATGAAATAATACAATTATACATCATTCAGGGACATCGAAAATGTGAAGTATAATTGTGTTTTTGATAATAAGTCTTCTGTAATGTATTAAATTAATATTTATTTATTTTAGATTTCCGAAAAATGAGGCTCTCCGCAAATTATGGATAGAAAACATAGGCACTGAAAATATAAAACCTGCAAGAGTCCTCAGAATATGCTCCAAACATTTGTACAGGCAATTTGAGTAAATAGAACATTGGGTGTGGTCACTGAACACTAATACTCTCATGGTTTTATGATGTAATATTAGACCACTCACAAATTTATAATTTACTTTAATGTTATCTCACAGCAGAGAATGGAATTATTCTTTACTAATTATTTATTAATTAATCTCTCTTATATTTTAAGTTGCAATTAAGATTAAACATTTTGAGAAGTGAGAGAAATTTGACTTGATCTGGTGAATCCATTCTAATACTTTTTGATTTATTATTATTATGGGGATATTTATTTGTTTTTTATTTTGGATATTTTTCTATTTGGTTGGGTTCATTAAAATAAAAGTAAACATATATATATATATATATATATATATATATATATATATATATATATATATAGCATAGCATACATAAAATAAAATTATTATTGTTAATGTATAATTTTAATAATTTTTGCAGCATGTACCAATGGATATTGACAAATATGGACATAGATACGACAAACAGACTCAAACAAAAGACGACAAATTCAGGTGAAAACTCTTATGGTGAGTATTTCTTCTAACTTCTTTTTAAAAAATAGCATCATCGTCATTAATTAGTATCCTACTTATTAAAGGCTGGCACAATACGTCAATTTCAGTATATATTTTGATGAAATTTAATTGCATCAACCCTATGTATGTTCGACTGCAGAGCACGAATCTCCCCTGTTAATTATCTCCCTAACCTTATGTATAAAATAAAATATTTATTGTAGTTTCACGTTACTTTTAGGCTATGGTAGTTAATGCAACCAAAAATCCAAGTTATGCAGACAAGTGAAGTTACAGGAAAGGAAAATAAAGATACTCAGAAGTGCCGCAGACTGAAGCATAAGGTGCTGACTTTCCAAACGACTATTGACGATTTGAAGAATCATAATTTAGTTCAGTTAGTTAATTAATTTAGTCAATTACTTAATTTCATGGGAAAAAGAACACTCAGAAAATATATCAAAGCGCAACATTTTAACAAAATTAATGTTATTCCTCCATGAATAAACGATTTTAATCAATATACTAATTGTTTTTTTTTATTTCATTTAACTATTTATGACAATAACCTATTTTATGTTACAATACTGATGGCAATTATCACTTTTAGTTTATTACCCTTACATTAGGTTTACATTAATTTTTTTTAGTTTTTACCCCCTACCTACTAGTGGTGACAAATGAGAATTAATAGAAAGGTGTGCAAAGTTAATAACATTTTTGCGTGTTATCGATATCAATATGGGTATAAATATATCGATATCAATATGGATTTAATAAAACAACACTATTTGCTGTGGGCGGAGTCGACGCCATTTTAGAGAAACATTTGGCTTCAGCACACGTGACCTAACGTGACATCCTCTTATATTCTTTTATCAATGGTAAGCATTCACTTAGGCTGCCGTGCACTACCGTACACACACAAGGCACAGCTCGTTAGCCGGCGGCTGTGATATCCCTTAAACGCAATGCAGCACACTCACGATATCCGAAAGTGCCCGTCTGAAATGGAATCGGCGACGTGGTGTTGTATTATTTATATTAACGAGTCTACGTATGACGGATCGTTATTTTCATTATTAAAAAGGGAACTTATAATATCGGAAAATAATCGTTTTGATTGTAAATTGATTATTGTCGTAAATCGTGTATTTATGTAAGTGGTTTAATGTTTATCATTTAATTGTTTTTATAGTTAAACTAGCTGCTGCCCGCGACTACGTCTGCGTAGAGGGATAAAAATTTAGGGTTGTATGTATTTTTGTATGCTGTATCATTAAAAAAATAAAAACAAAATTTTATATAAAAAATAATAATTTGGAGGTGGACCACTCTTAACATTTAGGGGGATGGAAAATAGATTTTGTCCGATTCTCCACCCTGGCCGATATGCACACAAAATTTCACGAAAATCGGTCGAGCCGTTTCGGAGGAGTTCAATTACAAACACCGTGACAAGAGAATTGTATATATTAGATTGATTTCGTAAAGCAATAGTTTCAAGCAATACGCCTTACTACTTCCTTCCCTTACACTAGGTTTCACAATTGATTTCAGTTGATTTCAGCCTTTATTTTTTAATAAGACATTTAATCAATATTTTCCTTAATATAGATATGAGAAAAAGTAGGTACCTATATACAACTTTTAACGGATAAGTTTGTTTTGTTTATAATAACGAATTTTTGACAAATAAATCAAAGGTCGCTCCATGAGAATATGGAAGATATCTTTTATTTGCGGATAAGATACTAAAATTAATTGCACTAGTTTTATATTAAATAATTACTATTTTAAATTATTTAACAATTAATTAGTAAAAACAAAAAAAACATTTGTACTTTTACTTTGTCCCCTGTGGACCCTATTACTAAGACTCCGCTGCCTGTCTGAGTCCGTCTATGTCCCTAGAAAAAGAGTAAAGAAATTTTTAAGTGGGGCTCCAATGCTTGCACTTAGCCGGTTTTCTGTTTAGGCAAAGGTAATAATGCTATTATAATTATACAATAATTTCTGTGGTCAAAACAGACCCCACAACAAAAACACTTTAATTTACTAGCGAACTCATAAAGAAACACTCCGAAAAATTGAGTCTGGACGTCAATTCGATAATACCTTCTTGTGCAAAACCCCCAAAATTGTATGGGTTACCTAAAATTCACAAAACCAATGCTCCATTACGCCCAATTGTCGGCCAGATCGACTCACCAACTTGACTGGCCCAACATCTTGTTAAGATCCTCTCACCACTCAGAGGACATACAAAGGCGTACACTAAAGATTCATACCATTTTGTCAGTGAGATTAACCACCTACATCTTGCTGACAATGAAACTATGTTTAGCTTTGACATACAGTCTTTATTTACATGCTTACCTATAGAAGATTGTATTTCAATAGTTACTAGAAAGCTTAAGGAGAACAACATGCCTATAGAATATGCATTACTGCTCAAACATTGCCTCACATCTGGCTATCAACTGTGGAAGGGAGAATTCTACATACAGTTGGATGGTGTAGCAATGGGCTGCCCAGTATCTCCCATTGTCGCAGACATATTTATGGAAGACTGAGGAGAAGGCCCTTCAAACAGCACCCGTTCAACCTAGATTTTACAAGCGGTATGTAGATGACACTTTCACAATTTTACCATCAGACAAAGTAAATGCATTTCTAAACCACCTCAATTCCTTACACACTAAAATTTAATTCACTATGGAATTAGAGACATGTAACTCCTTAGCCTTTCTAGATGTATTAGTCATCCGAAATCTTGACAACACCTTGAGCCATACTGTGTATAGAAAGGAGACCCATACAAATAAATATTTAAATGGTGATTCTCACCACCACCCTTCACAGTTAGCTACTGTTGGTAAATGTTTGTTACAGAGAGCACGAGGGATCTGTGACAAGGAACACCTGGCCGCTGAGCTACACAATGTCAAGCAAGTACTGCGTGACAACAAGCTCCAAATCCCGCGCCTGCGTCACAGTGACCGAGTGAAACCGGCCACAGTCGAGCGAGTGCCTGCTGTATTGCCATATGTCAGAGGAGTCACTGACAAGATTGGCTATATCTTGAAGCGTGTTTCAATTAAAACATATTTCAAGCTACCGAAGAAAAGTCAATTTTTACCATCTGTCAAGTGTAATATCCCTCTTCAAGATCCAGGAGTGTACAAGCTTGACTGCGATTGTGGGCTCTCTTACATAGGACAAACAAAGCGATCAATTAAAACCAGATTTAAAGAACACATAGCTGACGTGAAGCACCGACGGTTGAAGAAGTCTGCAGTTTGTGATCATATTTTAGACCGCCCCAACCACTACATTAGATTTGATCAACCGAAAATCCTCGCAAAAGAACACCGATTCCTTCCAAGGATGATCCGCGAGGCTATTGAAATAAAGAAACATCCTAATTTCAATAGAGAAGATGGTTGGAGTTTATCATCTGCTTGGGATCCCATAATTTATAAAATTAAATCCAAGCACTCCAACACTGCCAGACCTCAAGATACTATAAGCTCCTTCTGCGTGGATCGGAATAAAAATAAACAAAATAATTGACGGTAGCCGGGGTTAACTAAGACATCAAGACGTCTAACAACTTAGTCTGTCCCGTGACCATGAACGCTGGAAAGGGTTCGAAACGTCGGGAATTTAAATTAAAATAAAAAACGCGATAAAATCCGTAAAGTAGTTTCATTTAATAAGTATGTTTTATGTCTTATAAATCCATTCAACCAATTCATATGCTTTGTGACCTTTACAAATGAACTTTATGTTACAGTTTTATACCTAAGGATGTTCTAAAAATGTTTGTTTTGTAAAATTTATTAACTGGGTAAATATTGATGTTTAAAGAATGTAAATGCTTATTACAATTTAAAAAAGTTATCCTCTATATGTGTGTTCATTTATTGTCGCGGTTGCAACTACACTCCGTATAGTGCACAGACTTATAAAGAGAAGTTCTCTTTATAAGTCTGTGGAATTATGTATATGTTTTCTTTTGTTTTTTTTTGTTGTTATTATAATGAAAAGAAAATAAACACTAAATCCATGTACTCCAGAAGCGAGGAAACTTATGTTCACGCTGTTGTGCTGTCTACGGCTAAAACAAAGAACAGACAATAATTTCGCTGAATGGATCCACATACAAGACTTCCGTTTGTGGCTAAAACCTGATAACAAGAATCCCTATAAAGCCAATTGCACTGTTTGCTATGCTTCCTTGGCCGCCGATTTAGGCATTATAAGAACAATTTTTTTTTATTAACTAAAAACAAAACCGAATTCAAATATCTCGCTCTGTATTCATTTTATAATTGATTTTCAGGAGTTCCCTACATATCTCCGGAGTCTAAGATCCAATACCAATGAAATTAATATGTGATCACATGCGAAGCACCAGCTTTCAAATAAAAAAAAAATCAACAAAATCGGTTTACTCAGTCGAAAGTTCCGTAGTAACAAACATAAAATAAAAATACAGTCGAATTGAGATGAGAACCTCCTCCTTTTTTGAAGTCTATTGAAAAAAAATTCATACAACGACATTTATGGAGGGTTGAAGTACTTCAACCCTCCATAACGACAACTTTACAAGTGTTGATATTTTTGCTACTACGCCTTCTTATTTAAAAAAAAATACTAAATACTTAAATATACAATTAATTAAAATAACATGTATAAATTTATCTCGCTACCTTTACTAAAGCTAAACATAACTTTAGGTATACGGTGTTGAATGTACATATACTTATCTGTATTAATGTGCAATGTGTTAATGTTTATATCAATTGTTGTACATTTGTTTGAATGCCTTAATAAAATAAAATAAAAATAAAACAAAACCGACTTGGAATATCTCATGTGTGTCTGATCACAAACACCAAATATGCTACTTCAACAGGCCATACGTCGAAACCCGGATAGTTATATAGACTTTAAGAAATGTCGAGGATGACCACAAAATCTATGAAAAGTATAAAACAAAAATTTTTTTAGAGTAAATAAGTCAATTAAGGGAAAATACTAATTGTTTTTCTTTTAATATATAATTAAATACTTTCTGTATTAACACTAAATCAAAGTTTTGAAAATACTTTATTTTTTAGGAATATACTGTATTTTTAGCTGGCAGCACTGTAATTTGCGATCTGGAAACAGAAGCACTGGCTACCCTAGCCCTACTCTTTTATAATAATGACGAAGACGAAGTCTGTTCGTTTGTCGATTCTGTTTCCACGCTATTAATTTCCATTGAAAAAGTAAACTCCGTATTTAATTCGTGTGATTATAGGTTTGTGAAAATGTACAGAAATAAAAGAGATGTCGATAAACACGTGGAATCTTTAATATCCAAATTGTCACTGAAGGAGGTAAGTGAAAAATAATACAGATTTCACGTGAATTTTTTTCTCAGAAATCCAACGAATTTTGTATTTTGTTTCAGTTTAAAACTCGTTCATATTCTATTGCTCGATTATATTTTGATGTTGGAGATTTTTCGAGTTGTGTAAAATACGTCGAGGAGTACCTTACTTCCAAAAATAATAATGCCGCCGCGTACAAACTTCTAGGACAGGCATTTCAAAAACTAGGACAAAAAGAAAAAGCTCTCGAGCAATTTAAAACTTCGCTTGATTTAGACCCCACACAAACAAGCACCATCTTAGACAGTAAGTATATTATTAAATACATATTGAGATAATAGCAAATTGAATAACCTTAATCAATGTGTCAATGTATGATAATGAATTTTATAGATTTTTTTGTACCATCAATAAATATATAAACTGGAATATCGAAATATTAAAAATACCTGTAAATGACAAAATATATATTGTATAGTGTAATGCTATTTTCATAAATAGACTTTAAAAGTAAATATTATGGACAAACATTCCAAATTTTATTTATTTAATGTTATAATGGCTCTGTTGGATGTATCTTGAAGTAAACATATAGTTTGAAATTCCTGGATCAATTTTATACTTGCATTTGTGTTAACAATCAAATTTCTTTATGAAAGTTGTATTTGTTATTTATTTATAATGTCCTCATATTTATTTCTTAATTGGTACATGGTAAATTACATACAATAATTTGGTATTTTTTACCATTAGCATTGTTCTTTGACCTAACAATTTTTTTTTATTTGGTAGAGAAAAATCACTAATGAAATAACCAACTAGCAGAATTCTCTGGTTGCTTATTAGTTTATTAGTTTTTGAGAAAAAAAAAATATTTAAAACTAGTTATTTTCACTAAGAAAGTTTGTCATTTTATAAATTCGATTTCAAAAACTGAAAACAGTACTGCCCACATTATAATTATAGGATGTGGGCGACGTCTTACTCGTATTGATTGTTAGATTAAATTTTTTTTTCTTTTTAATTTAATGAATCACAGAAGGGACTCAGGTTAAGTTAGAAGGTCAAGGCGGGAGCTCTGCTCCCACCTTAGCCTTTGTGGTTATTTTTTTATAACCACCCAAGAATACCCAGTCTATAACAATAAAAAAAAATAGTTGAATTGACAACAACAAAATACTGGATTTATTTAGTGAAAATAACAAGTTTTTGTTAGGTTGAATAATGCCCCGTGTTAAGGAAAATTTTGCCTATTTTTATTGCGTCCCAATTAGTATACTTATATAATTAAAAAAAACTTTTTCAATGAGCTGTAAAATGATGTACTATTAAAATTATGCAAAATGTTTAAAATCAAGAATAGTGATCATATACAGCGTGTCTTTACCGTTGCGACAATAAATGAACACACATATAGAGGATAAATTTTTAAAATTGTATCAAAAATTTACATTCTTTAAACATCAATATTTTCCAAAACAAAGAATTTTAGAACATCCTTACCTATAAAAGCGTAACGTAAAGTTCATTTGTAAAGGTCATAAAGCGTATGAATGGGTTGAATGAATTTAAAAGAGACAAAACATACTGTTAGAACGAGAGGCTTGTAATGCGACGCTGTGGCAGCGAATGAAAAAGTCTCTGTATGAATTTTTTTCTTTTTTACTTAATTAATTTCTGAAAAATATTTTTTGTAAGTATGGATTTTTTTAATGTTAATATTTTTTTATGATTATTGGCAAGTAGCGATAGACGTGTGTTCATTTATTGTCGCGGTGGTAAAGACACGCTGTATACTTTCAAACTATTAATTTATGGAATATATACAAATATTGCTATAATGTGCAAATGTTTAATTAGGATATCCAAATTAACATGATTAATAAGATGGTAGATAGGTAAGCAAATAAATATCTTGTATAAAATTTTTAATTCAAAATTAATTATATTATCATTGCATACTTTTTTTAGTTTGTGAGCTCCTTGCTGATGACGAAATTGCTATAGATCCTGGACGTGCCAGATATTGGTGTGAAAAAGCTGAAGCCATTTTCCCCAGACATCCTATGACTTTTCGACTTAGAGAAAGATTATTGAACACAAATAATTCTGATCCTGAAGCATTAATTAAATTACTTAAAGCAGAGTTAGCAGCAAGACCTAAGGATGCATTGTTACATGGTCGTTTGCTTAAACATTATATAAACACAAATAAAATTACAGAAGCATTTGAACATAGTTGCAACATAGAATTTGACAGTAATTTTTTTCCACAAAGTTTTGCATGGTATGAGATTGTCTCTCAGGTTCTCAAGCATAGCAACCATGGTGCTAAGAATTGGCTGCATCAGTTACTTTTATTGACTGTTAAAGAGAGAATCTGTCTTTTAAGCCTTACTGAAATACCAACAGGTTCTTCTAAAAGCTTAATTGAATCAAACAATTTACTCTTTGCTTATGATCAAGCTATTGAAAAAGTTGCACAAGATGGTGCTTGTCCAGGATATGCTGAATTCCATTCAAGTCTTTTGAAACATCATAAAGCTCAGTTGGCTTTTCATATAGCAACTTTTCTACTTAAAAAGGCAAAAAGAGACCAAATAACCTGGCGAGAAGCTGTAAAACTAACAGATCCTTTGATGTTAATTGCTTGGCAAAGTATTCCCGTTGATCCAAAATCTAATTGGCTTGCGAATGCTCCAGAAAAACAAAAAAGTGTTGTTTATAGATGGTATTACGAGGGTAGTTACAGATGTTCTCAATCTGGCCATTATTTGCTTGCAAACTGTCAGGATAAGAGCCAAATATTCCTTGATCAAGTCTCACAATACTGTTCCAGCCCTGAATGGAAATTTAAATTACATGAAAAACTGTATGGAAATTGTGAGTCTCAAGAACAAATTAAGACATCTGATATTGCGTCACATTCCTTTAATGTACCTGCACTAAGGTTACCACGACGGAGTGAAGTAGAAGTTTATGATGGGGCAGCTCAAAAAGAATATCCAAACTCACTTCACCATATAGTTTGGATATTAATGAACTATAAAAATTATGCTCATTTCAAGTGTACACTTTTTGATATGCTAATGCCAACAGTTACAAACTGTGGGCCGGAAGCTCTTAGTAAGATTGATATTCATGCTTTTGTCTATTGTGCTGCTTTAACTGCTGATAAACAAAAACACAATCAAAAGTCATTTATTACAGCTGATAAGCCAAATCTTATACCAGCTAATATTACTGATCTCCTTTGTTCTCTTACCCAAATAAAATGGTGGGACTGTGCTTATAAATTTAGTCAAAATGAGTTAGGCCCAGAACTAACAGATGTTCGAGCCACATTAAGTGCTGGAATAGAAGTTGTGCGATGCATAGACAATCATGGCTTAGATCCAGAGATTCTTTGTGCTCTTGGTCGTATTTTTAGTGAGCAAGCAAAGCTAGCAACAGTTGAAGATGACAACACTAAGTTAGAAATGAGGGCATTTCTGTATTATACAGCAGCTATACCACTTCTTCTACAATTAAAACACAAAACTGTAATTAAAGTACCTGAAAGAAGACTTTTTGATTATACACATGCAGAGCTTAACCCTAAAGAACTTAATCTGTTAATAGAAGAAAGTAAGACTTTTGTTTCATTAATTCATCTACGGAATGGTGAATATGAAAAGGTTATTGAGTTGCTTTCAAATGTTCGGACAGCAAAAGCATACTACTACCTTGGTGAAACATATAAAAGAATTGCTTTAGAAGAAATACCAGCACCAAGAGAAACGGCAATTGATTCGAAATATATGTCGTTATTAAGCAAAGCCAAACAATTTGCTTATAAAGCTATGGAAAAGTTGAAAGAATCAGAAGGCTTTAAAAGTAACCCTTTATACTCGGAATGTCAAGATTTGATTGAAGACATAGAAGCATGTATAAATAAAATAGATCCAGAATTATCGTGTGCTGCAGGTTATATGGAAGGAAAACATTCATCTGATGAAAATTTATCCATTATAGGTAGTGACCAATTCCCAATTCGTTCTAATCATCATATCCGAAACATTAGTTCCACCCCTAAACAGCAATCACACGCTAATAACACTAATTATAGAACTGCAATGGACAGTCAATTGATAGAAAACAGTAGAATGGATCATCAATATTTAGAGAGAATTGAGAAACAAATAAAAAATTTACAAAAAAGAGAGACAGTTATAAATGAATTTATGGAGCAAACAAAAGATTGGTTTAAAGAAAATAGTAATTTAGGAAATCAAATCATTAAATCCATTAATTCTAATACTGAAAACACCAATGAACAGTTTAAACTTCTTAAAATATCTGTTGATCAAGTAAACAGTCAAATAGATGAATGCAGAAATGAATGTAAAGATATAGTTGAATTAAAAAAACAAGTAGCTGATTTGAAAAAAGAGGTAAATAAATTAAAGAAAGGATCTTTAGATCAGGCAGTAGATGAGAACCATTTGTATAACATAGATGAGAATTTAAGGCCTAATGAAAGCACATCTACATATAACTCACATACGCCTTTTAACCAACCTCAAGTTCTTTCACCCTTTACTCAACGACTTGTTCCACCATATCCAGTACCATCTAATCCTTATCATTTGTATGGACAGAATTTATATAGTCTTTATAACCAATTTTCTCAATTTGCTCAACCACAATCTGTCGCATCAGCTCCTATATTTGATCCCTCTAGAGGTCAAATGAACTATCCCAATATCTATCCAACACCAGACCAAATGTTTCTTGATGTCGCACATCTAATTCCTCCTAATATGTCAGCGGCATCTTCTGTACCAATTGTTCCTACAATACCTATAGTACCCTCAACATCCGGAACAACTACTTCTTGTAAAGCACCAACTACCTCTTCAACTGTGTTAAAACCAACACAAACGACGGAAGTCAAAGAAGAGTCCCGAACGCTTCCAGTAAATGTTGTAATATCTTCCTCTGATCCTTTACCAACTTCAGCCACTGCTCCTACGCCGACTTTAAGTGTGACCATTCCGCCACAACATATAAAAGGGAGTCCTCATAATTATCAAATACCTATGCCCTGCACTGATGAAAACAAGACACCATCAACTCCTAAGTTTAGTTTTACTCAAGCAAATAAACAAACTACAACAACACCTTCATCAAAAATTTGGAACCAAAGTATATTTGCTGATTCCCAATGTACTACTAATTTTAATAACTCTTTAACCCTCGATAATACAAAGTCAGTCATTGGGGGGGTGGAATCATCTCCAAATGTAAGCCTGAATAAATCAAGAACAATATCAGAAAAAAGCAATACATCTGTCGAAAATTACGATCCTTGCCCAGACTTTAAACCAATTATACCATTACCAGCCGAAGTGAAAGTAACAACTGGAGAAGAAGATGAGGTTGTGATATTTAATGCTAGAGCTAAATTGTTTAGATTCATTGATAAACAGTGGAAAGAAAGGGGTATAGGTGAAATGAAATTGCTGCAACACAAAGTAACTGGTAAGGTAAGGGTTCTTATGAGAAGGGAACAAATACATAAAGTTTGTGCTAATCACATAATTTTGCCCGAAATGGAGATTAAACCTATGAAAAATGAAACAAAAGCTTATTTTTGGGTTGCGAATGACTTTGCTGAAGAAACGGTCATCCTTGAAAAATTTTGTATTAGATTTAAGACTGCTGAAATTGCTAAACAGTTTTATAATACATTTGAAAAAGCGCGTGTAGAAGCTCTGCCTACTCAGAGCAATAACTTGAATGAAAAGCAAGTATTACCTGTCAAATCAATTCAACATGATTCCCAAGCAAGCAATGCTTTTGTTAAAGAACAAAATAAGACGGTTGTTGGTGGTTTTACATTTACAAGTACACCATCATTTAAAAGTACTGATGAAACTAAAAATGTTACTTTGGCCAGTCCTGATGTAACAAAAAACAAAGTTAATACTTTTAGTGGATTATCATTTAAAGGTAATTCCACTTTATTTAGTAATTTGTCTAATACTAAATTGGAAAATCAAAAGGAAAGCTTATCAGAAAACACCACCAAAAATAATAAATTAAACTTGTCTGATGTTGTTGAAGAATTTGAACCTGCAGTTGACTTCAAACCTGTTGTCCCACTACCTGCTTTAGTTGACCAAAAAACTGGTGAGGAAGATGAGGTAATATTATTTGAACATCGAGCAAAGTTGCTAAGATATGATGCTGCTGAGAAAAAATGGAATGAAAGGGGCCTTGGAAATATAAAATTACTTGTACACAAAGAAAATGTTCAGAAAATTCGTCTCTTAATGAGGAGGGAACAAATTTTCAAAGTGTGCTGTAATCATTTTATTACAAAGGATATGACCTTCCAGAAAATGCCAAATATGGATAAAGCTGTAACATGGTGTGCCAAAGATTTCTCTGATGGTGAATTAATATCTGAGACTTTCTGCTTACGATTTAAGACAGTACAGATTTGCAATGAATTTGTGGAAGCAGTGAAAAAAGCACAAGACAAAATGAAAGATGACACAAAAGCAGCTAAAGAGGAGCAAAATGCTGCTAAACAAAGCAGTCAAATAAATTTGTCTGAAGATTTGAAAAATAACTCAATTACATCTAGCTGGGGTGATAAATTTAAACCCAAACCAGGTTGCTGGGAATGTAAAAAGTGTTATATACGTAATGAAGCCAGCTCACATTTATGTTGTGCATGTCAAAATCCAAAAGAACCAATTCAGTCAAAAATTGAAGCTAAACCAAGCTTAAGCAATGAATCTACAACATTTAATTTTGTTATGCCTATGAAATCAAACAGTGCTGTATCCAATTGGGGAGATAAATTTAAACCTAAAGAAGGATCATGGGAATGCAATCAGTGTTTGATTAGAAATGAAGGCAACATATCTCAATGCAGTGCCTGTAATAATCCAAAGGAGCCTAAGTCAATAACAAAAGAATCAAAACCTGTTTTTAAAGACAGTACTTCTGGGCCGAAATTTACATTTGGTATCCCCACCACCTGCAATGAAGAAAATTCAAAAAGTGATACAAAGTTGTTATTCAACTCTACGAGCACACAGAAATTTAATTTTGGCATCCCAGCTTCTAAATCAGACACAGTGATATCATTTGGTGACCAAAATTCGGTTTCAAGCTATTTTAGCACATGCAAATCTACTGTAAATAAAGAACAGCCTATAAATTTTTCGATAAAAGATAATGATGACAGTAAATCGACGACAGGGCAAAAACCAATGGCTTTCCCAATACCAAATGCTTTGAAGAAATTTGAATTTAGCTATACAGTTCCACAAAATTATCCAGAACAAACTAAGACTGACAACATTAAGCCTGAGTGTCAAACTGTAGATGAAGCAAATCTACCAAACAGTCCTTTGGGGGAAACATTCAAAGAAAAGGTACATAATAAATCATTACACTAATAAATTTTTATTTTATAAGCCTTTTTTTGCTTATACAGTTTTTTTATATTTTTAGATGGAAAGCATTATTAGTGGAGAAGATAATGAAGAATTAATTTTTGGACAGATGGCTAAATTATACAAGTACATTTCCGGTAAATGGGAGAAACAAGCAGTCGGAATAGTAAAGGTTTTAAAACAAAAAGAAAATGAGAGATATAGGTAACCTTAGATTTTTTTTTAGTTTTTATGATTTTTATTTGTTTATTCAGGAAAACAAAAGCATATCATATAATAGTTTTGATAGTTTTACCAGATTATTGTAAATGCTCAATTTAATTTTTAATTCAACTAATGTAATAATGCATTTTCTAAATTCGCTTGCGGGCTTTTGCTCTGCACTTAAACAAAGAAAAATTAGGGTATATGGATATATTTTTTTCAACCTCTAATTTAAAGAATCTCCATTAAAATTATTAGAAACATTCATTGTTATACACTGTAGTGCATACTATAATTACTACATGAATATAATTTAATAACTATTTTTGATAGTAATGTTTTATATAGAAAAAAAGCTTGTCAATTGGTAGGTATTAATCAAAAAAGAAAATCAATTGACTTGAAAATTGTACCTATTGAAGAGTACTAAGAGCCATGATAGCTCAGTGTCCGGGCGCTCGCCTTAATTCAATATACTCGAGCAACCTGAGTTCGATCCCCGGTGCCGGCACCAATGAAGTTTTGGTGAAGCGGTGAAGGAAAACATCGTGAGGAAACCTGCATATTTTCGAAATAATAACAAAAAAAATATATTTCGAATATATGTGAAGTCCGCCAATCCGCAGTGGGGCAGCGTGGTGGACTATGCCCTGATACCCTCTGTATAGAGGAGGTCTTTGCCCAGCAGTGGGACATGTATAGGCTGTTACTTTACTTTACTTTACTTTTTACCTATTGAAAAGTGAGTAGAAAATATGAAAATTAATACTTTTTTTGGTGGAATGTCAACCACTTACCAAAGACCATCATTATAATTTGTTTCATATGTAATTCTTTGAATGTAACACAATATTACATATTAATATATATTTTACTTACAGAATTTTAATGCGGCAAGAAAAAGATTTTAGTGTCTGCCTTAATTATCCTGTCACATCAGAAATGAAATGTAAGCCTAAAGATGGAAATACTTGGCATTTAACTGTAAACGATTATAGTGAAGGGGAATCATGTGTAGAAAATTTCTGTCTTAAGTTCCCAAACACGGAACAAGCAATAAAGTTCAAGAGTAACCTTGACAAAGTCTCTAATTTGCCTACAGAAAGCTTGAATGATAAGAGAGAAGATGATACAGATGATGTTGTTTTTGTGGCTGAAATATTAGCTTCTAATGAAGAACAACAAAAAGCTATAGAACTGAAATTACCTGAAAACTTTTACACTTATAGAAATAAACCACCATGCCAGGGATGTAGAGGTTGCAAAGATGATGAGGATAATATTAGTGAAGCTCACATAAATGCAACACTTTTAGCAAACTCTGAATCTACTGTAAAACCACCAGAAACTAACATTTCTACTCCATTGAAAACATCCATTAAGAGTGTACAAAGTCCTTCTAGCTCTATGTATGGTACTCCTGGTAATTTTAATGAAACTGCTGATTGTTCTTATTTCTGCACTCCCTTAGGATCTCAAGGTTATAATTCTAAGTCCCCTTTTTTGTCAAATAATAAGAATGATAGCAACAGCGCCGACAAGGAGAACACTTTAACAGAGAAGTCGAACATGTTTACGGACTTTTCGGGACAGAAATTAAAATTTGGTACAACAAGCAGTCAGTCAAGCATTTTCTCACCTCAGCCATCAACAATAATAAAAAAACCTATTTTAGCTGCTCCAAAACTGGATTCATTAAACACAAACATATCTGGCGAAACTAAAAGTAACGAGAATAAAACAATGTTTACAGTTCCTGGAGTTTCTAGTAATAAATCAATATTTGATTTTTCAAGCAATAAAAAAAGTGATATTCCACAAGTTTCCGACATCAAATCTGTATTTGGAGACAATCAAAATCCAGTAAATTTATTTAGCGGCGCTAGTCAAGGGAGTATATTTGGTCCATCTGCTTTAAAAGGTGATTCAACAAACCTAACTGGACTGAGCTCTGGAAGTAAAGAAAAAAGTTTTGAGTCCAAAAGCACTATACTTGGAAAAGGCTCATATGAAATAGTTTCAGAGAGTTCAAAGCTTTTTGGTAAGAATCCATCCGAGTCTGTTGTGTTACCCGGTTCAAAGGATGACGCGTCGAGAATAAGTGAAAAAGAAAAAGTCGACATACCTTTGAAAGTAGACAATGCTTTATCATTTGCAGCATTATCCACAAGTGGACCTGGATTTAACAGTAAGATATAATAAATAAATTCTGCTATAAATATTTTAGGCATTAAATCACTGAATTAATATTGTTGCATTTCTATTATCCAACAGAGAAAGCAGATTTCAAATGGGAAGGAGCAGGACAGCAGTTATTTACGGCAAAATCAAATAAACCAATGGATGAAAAATTAAAAGATGTTTCTGCTAGTGAAGAAGCTGAGACTGGCGGTGGTGCTGAAGAAGAATATGATCCTCATTTTGAACCCATTGTTCCATTGCCAGAAAAAATTGTTGTAACTACTGGAGAAGAAGACGAGGTAGGCATTTCCTAGCATTTTTAATAATTTAGGGTTAAAGCAATAAGAAATAAGGTAAGTGATTTCTGACTCCCATAGACATCATTGGTGTTACAGGTTGTATCTTTAATTTTTATATGGAACTTGGACGGTAAAATAATTCCATTCGCGTGTTCATCTGTAATCTTGTTGTTTGTCCTTGCAATGCTCTACAACAACCAAAAAGATTTATAAAAATGTCTAAAGTTTGTACTACACTCTTTGGCATCTAAATAAATAAAGTTACCATTAAAGTAAATTACATACAGCGTGTCGTTACAACCGCGACAATTAATCAACACACATATAGAGGGTAACTTTTTAAAATTGTATTAAACATTTACATTCTTTAAACATAAATATTTACCGAGTTATTAAATGGTCCAAAGCAAACAATTTTAAAACACCCTTACATATAAAACTGTAAAATAAAGTTCTTGATTCCGCTTAATGCTCTCGTACGGAACGGACCTCTCTCTAAGACGGAGGGCTCATGCCACCCGAATTAGACGCTCCTCGCAACTTCGTTTGCAAGTTAAATCTTTGTGCAAGCAGTGCAGTAGTTTAGTGTTAGTGTAGTGTTGTGCTCGTAGGCAGGTTCCTGTTCTGTAAGTAGAATTTCATACACACTTCTCGCCTCAGAGGCGGCATTGTTTTATTTAATAACTGTGTGCTCGTTGCGATAGGCGACAGCTAGGTACCCATCCTAGCGCACCTAAAGCGCAGGCGATTTAATTGTTAATTTTAGGCACACACCTTCCTGCCGCAAGGTGGGGAGGCCTATTTAAAAACTACACAACGGCGGGGCGCAAGCCCCAAAGGCTCAAGTGCCGTTATGGGTTCCCTCTTAGAGGAATTCATTCGCGAACGATGCCCCGAAATGTGGTGCAGCTTTCTCACCTTCGCCGCGGAGAAACGCCTTGTCGTCGATTACGCTAGCGACAACCCGGCTTCACCAGCAGCAGCTTCGCCGCCATCTCCGGTGCCCTCTGCGCCAGCTAATGAGTCGCTTTCTGCGACACTAGTAACGCCCGTCGCGTCGACTTCCGACGCTGCGAACGATGCCAACGCGCCTGCCGCGCAACCAATTTCGGCCCCCTTCCACGATGTCGTTCCCGACTCACAATCGGACGGCGGCTCGGACATGGAGGTCGAAACGACCCCCGCTGATAACGCGAACGCGCTTCACCGTCATAAAGTCGCGCAAAAAGGGCAAAAAACGCCCTGCAACTGACAGCGACCCCGAATGCGAGGCCGCCCCATCTAACCATCCCACCGCGACGCCCGCCAAAAAGGTAGCCGCTGCTGCCCAAACGGTTCCCGAATTCGCATCCGAGCAAAAAATTAAGCCACCGCCTCCAATAATTATTCAAGAAAAGGCAAAGTGGCATCAAGTATGCTCGTGGTTCGAACGCCACAACATCCGCGCGACCCCCGGTCAAAAAATACACACATGGGTATCCGCGTATACCTGGACACAAGACCGAAGAGGGCCCGAAGAGCGTAAACTTCGGGTAGTTATAAAGGGCGTCCCCAAAGAGTCGGATGTCGATAAGGCTAAAGTCGACATCCGCACTAAGGGATACCCCGTACATGCAGTGCGACGTCTCAGACACCCCAGAACCCGTGTCCCTATGGACATGGTCATGGTTGAACTGGACCCTACCCCGGAAGGTAAGGCCATCTTCAACCTGAAGAGGGTCTGTGGGCTCAGTGTATTTGACATCGCGCCTCCGCGTAAATCAGGCGTTGTAGCACAGTGCCAAAACTGCCACACGGCCAACAATTGCATCGCTCACCCTAGATGCGTCAAATTGAGGTGACCACGGCACGCCCGACTGCACGCGGCCGAAAGATTGCGCAGATCCACCGGACTGCGTAAACTGCCACGCTACCGGCCACCCGGCTAGTTACGACTACTAAAGACTTAATAGTCCCCGCAATAAAACCGCGCTCATCCGCGTCTTTACTTAGAACCATAAAAAAAAACTTTAATGGAAAGTACAACCGCAGGTAGAACAAAACTTCGAGCTCTGGTTGTTTCGTATTTCAACGCAAACGGCATTAAGGGTCAAAGGGACGAAATCGCAGAATTCCTTCGCGATTACAATGTAGATATTTTCCTAGTGCAAGAGACATTCTTAAAACCGAGCGCATACGCGATCTCAGAATCGCAAACTACAACAAAGTCCGCCACCACCGATTAGCAAACCGTATGGGAGGCACTCTAATTTATTATAAACGGTCCTTGCACTGCAGCCCGCTCGACATTCCAAAGTTAAGCCATATAGAGGCATCTGCGTGTAGGTTAGCGCTCACCGGCCATAGGCCGCTTGTACTAGTCTCAGCCTACCTCTCGGGGAACAAAACCTTATTACAAAGCGATCTAGATACGCTACTCAACTTAGGCCCTTCCGTGATAATTGAAGGAGATCTAAACTGCAAACACGGCTCATGGGACATCCACAGTATCCCAAATAACAACGGAAAGCATCTCTTTAGCTTATCCGACAATTTAAACTTTAGCATAGTCGCTCCCGCGACTCCCACTAGGTATCCTACGGTGGACAACTACCAACATGCGTCACCGAGTATCCTAGACATCATGTTATTCAAGCAGGTCTCTCTCGATATCGAGTCGATAGAGACAATCCATGAACTAGAATCGGATGACAGGCCCGTCCTGTGTAAAATGGGCCAGAACGCCGGCGCGGTCCCTCCGACTAAATCCGTAGTGGACTGGCATCGTCTTGAGGTCAAACTCAAGGCCTTGGACCCCCAGGACTTAGTCGACCTACCCGAGACGATAGCTACGTTCGATGACGCAAATCGAACTATAGCAAGTCTCCGAGAAACCACACGGTTGACACGACGGTTTAACTTTCCTCCCTACCTACGACTGCTAATTAGGCAGAAAAATGCAGCCAAACGCGCTTTCGACCGATACCGACCGGAATCTAACCAAACCCTACTTCGACGCCTTCAGCTAGAAGTCAAAGATCGTGTATCGGAACACCGACATACAATGTGGGACACTCTGCTAGAGGACATCGAGCCATCGCTCACCGCCTACTGGCGTTTGGCCCGCAGTCTGAAAGCAGACCCCCGCGAAGCTCTACCGCCGTTAGTTTGACCTAATAGCGCTTCAGTAGCCCTTAATAGTCTCGGGACTGAAAGCAAAAACATCAGTTAATACAAGATACAAGAAGATAAAGTTCATTTGTAAAGGTCATATGAATGGGTTGAATGAATTTAAAAGAGATAAAAATCATACTGTTAGAAGAAGAGAGTTGTAATGCATCGCTGTGGCAACAAATGATTGAGTCTCTGAAGGAATGAATTAGTCAGTTGTATTTGTGTAAGATGTTACAAATTTTGTTTCTTTTTTATTTAAATAGTTTGTTAAAAAAATCCATAATTAAAAATATTTATTTTTAATTATGGATTTTTTTAACGTTTATATTTTTTATGATTATTGACAAGTAGCGTTAGACGTGTGTTCATTTATTGTCGCAATTGTAACGACACGCTGATATATGTGTGTTTGTGTTTTATTTCAGGAGAAACTATTTGGCGAACGTTGCAAGCTGTTTAGATATGTTGAGAAAACACGGGAATGGAAAGAGCGTGGCGTTGGTGAAATTAAAATTTTATATCATCCTATAAGGATGACATACCGGCTTCTACTTCGGAGAGAATTGGTATGTAATAAATTATTTGGTATTTGGTAAGCAATCACACTTTTCTCAAAGCTCGCCTTTCTTTCCCTTCCTAACTTTGTAAGGTGACGCATTCACCAGCTTACTCCCCAAGTTGAGCGTGCGTAAAGAAATATTACTTTAAAAAGTGATATATGTATCAATATTTGGAAGTTAAATGTAAAATGCTCAACTAAATATAAACCGTTTGTTGGACACTCCCGTCGTAGTGAAGACCTCGATGGGGATTCTTGACGTGAAAATATCGAGCGAGGTTATATTTCGCAGTCAGTTGAAGAGAAAAGAATTATGTCTCAGTGTTTTCAGCAGAGCAAAACAGTGTGTTATCGTCCCAACCCACTACTGTCTGCAATCTACAAATGAAATACTGTTCCCATCACTGCAATTTGGGCACACCAATATCACTTCTTTTTCATTATCTCTAGTCTCTGGCTGTACTCAAAGAAATTGTGTCTCTTGCGTTTTCGAGCGAGTGATGTGGATACATTTTGAAAATAGACAGCATTACTTAAGCCAAGTTCCTATAGTTTATATTTGTTACAGGTACACAAAGCAGTTCTCAACATGTTGTTGTTTATTGATTTGGAATTATTACCTATGAAGAATTCAGACCGTGCATGGACATGGGCTGGTATTAATTACGCTGAGAATACAGCTGGTGAGCAGGAGACTCTTGCAGTGCGTTTCAAGACTGCAGTTCTTGCTGCTTCTTTCCATGATAAAGTTGTTGAATGTGTTCGGGTGAGTTAACATTAATATTAAAACAAATAGGAACATAATATAACATATTAAAATAAGTACATATTTTTGTATTTGTTGTATTTGTGAAGGAGAGTGTTTAATCTGTAATAGATATTTTAAAGTTTTTATGTGATTTCTTCTACTGAGGTGTTTTTCTCTTTCATTGTGATTTTTACAGAAATTGCAAGTTGCAGCTGCTGAAGTCATACGAAACGAAAAAAAAATGAGTGAAATCAAATTTGAAAGTGTTGCTCCACTTAGGTTACCAAAACATTTAGAAGATAGTGCAAGAGCCGATGAGGCAATATCGGCGAAGGTTGCAGAGCAGCAAATAGTCACAGGGATTACTGATGAGAAAGAAAAAACTGTTGATTTTGAACCTAAAGATACAAATGATACAGAAACAAAACAGGTTCACTTTGAAGAAACGGAAGAAGTTGACACAAGAGAAAATGATGAAGATGAAAACCAATATGACTTGGATTACCATTATAATGAAGTAATAATTTTTTTTTACCATTGTAATTAAGTAGTATTCAGATGTGAGATACACATTAACTTTCTAACTGTACAGATTTTCAGTATTAGTACATAAAGTGGTTAGCAATCATACATGTTTCAGATCTAAATTTAACTTTCTTTCAATAATTATAAGAAAATACCAAGAAATTTTGAATATAATTGCAAAGCACAACTTCAACAAAATGTTTGTCATTCCTTTGTGTTTTTTAATCATACTAATACAAAAACAATTTTTTTAAAACTGCTAACTAAATCAGGAGGAGGAGGAAGAATCGGGAGTTTATTTCTCCTGTGAAGGAGAAGCTGTGGTTGCAGTAGGCATTGAAAAGGCAACTTGTCCTCAAGCGCATATACAGGTTGTCTTTGATCAGGACATCTATTCACCAAAGATCACAGTGACTGATTCAAACACTGGAGAGGTTCTAGCAGATATGCTGATTTACACAGATACGGAGTTTCATGTAATTATATTTAATACTTTTAAGATCTTATTACTGAATTGTGGAGCTAATCTTGTAATGCTGTGTATGCGTTTTTTTATTATTATATTTTATTTTATTTATTTATTAATACTATTATCTTTACTTAACATTCTCTTTTAGATAAATGGCGATTCCTGTTCATGGTCAGGTCAAGACTATGATGCTTCCAACAAAGCAGTAACCATCAATTTCTCTGATAGTGAAACTGCTATGTACTTCTATGACAGTTGCGAGGTAAAGAAATGTACCATCCTTAACCTTGTAAATAAAATAAATATTGTTATTTAAAAAATTTTTTACAAAATTTGTTGTCAAAAAATGGTTTACTGACTGACAAATAGCATATACATCAATTTTTAAATAAGACTTCAATATAGAAAACCTTATCACAGTTGTTATTTCCCTATCTATATTTTCTCCATGCTTTCTCGGGACTTGTTTATTATCATTATCACTACTAATAATACTTTTGCATCATCATTAATGTTATTTGCAGGCTTTCATCCATTCATACCCTTCTAGAAGTCTATGTCGTTGTAACATAATAATCAAAAATTCTAAAGAATATATTATAAATGAAACAAAATGTCTTGAGCTCAGAGCCTCATGGGTGCAGGTGTAGCTACAATGCTTGATAATTTTCTTTTCTAATTTCAGACCAGTAAAAGTGCGACATACGCCTCCACAGATCCAGAATCATAGAAGTAGTTAACATAGAATATATGTAATAATTTTGTTATGTTGGTTTGCATCAAATAGTTTTCATCCCTTTCATATCATACCCAGTTTTCCTTAAATATAATTTGACTGTAAATAGATTTTAGTAACTTAAGCCCCATTTTAATTTTTATTACTTATTAATAATTTTGATTGAAGACAGTGCATTTTTAAGACAGTGCTGTCGACACAAGGAAGATCAATAAAAATCATTAAATACTAGACTTAAACCAGACTATTAATAGAACTTATTCATTGCATCATTTTTTAATTTCATTGTTTAATTTTTTATAAATTTGAGAAACATCATACACCACTTTCTACTCTATAAAGTAAGTTTTGACTTAAAAATCAATAATCTTAATAATTTTGACAATAGCAGTAAAACTAATTAAAATATTTAGACTTTCAATTTTACCAAAAAAAAATATTTTGAATTCATATAGTGAAATCATGAATACCAGGTTATTTGAATATCTATTTATAACAATGTTATAACTCAAACTAAATATGACATGAGAAAAAACATTTCACCAACACTGTTAGATGCTAAAAGTAAATCTTTTAAAGAACAAGGAATCTGATCAATGGTGTTGTCTTTTCTTATATCTGGGTAACTGGATTGGTATTACTTGAAATAATTATGTAATGACTAATTATGTGATATGTTTATCAGGTCTTATAATTAAGTAGTTCATAATGTTGCAAAATATTAGTAAAGTAAAGTATTCTCAAAACTCATAAATTTAAACCAATTCGATACAAGAGCTGCTTTAGGTATAGTGTTTAAATTCCAATACATTCACTGTTTTTAAAGTGATTTGTTGAATTTATATTTTTCTGCTATTTGAAATTAAATGATAAAGGGACATTTTCTCAATTATGTTGCCGTTATAAATTTGTAGTTATTTCAATTGGGGAACTTTTAATAGAAAAAAAAGTATTATTTCCGTTTCTCATTACAACTAGTGTGACATTTTCTACCTATTATGTTATATTTTGGAAAGTAAATATTTAAGCAAATATGATTTGATTTTATTTTATTTATTCCCTTAATTGAAAGAAAGAAAGAAATATTTATTCGGCGCATTACGTTATAGGTGAAAAATAAAGAACAAGAATTAACACTAGGATTGTAAGAATATTTACACGAAAAAGGTATCTGCTCAGTGTATAGCCGTGGCAGACAAAAACATGGTATTCTGCGGATACCTTGTGAGAATGGCGTTCAGCTCCATGTAGAGATGGGTCGTATCGCTTTTTCTGAGAACCGTATCTGAATCAGATTTCGATTTCAAATATCAGATTTCGGAACTATGTATTTTAATATCTAAATATTTTACGTTCGCGTATCCACCTTAAATTCATAAAAAAAGTGAGACAATATTTTTATTAATTATTAACATTCAATATTATAGTTTAGGGCGGAAGAATTTAAAATATACATGTAGGCGTAGGATAAATAAAATCTTTATTTTGAGTATATTGTTACTATTTTCATCTTTATTTAAATTAATACATTTTAAGACACAGATACACGTTACTCGTTCGTGGCGTCGTTGCGAAAGGTCCCTCAATCCCTTTTACGTCATCCATCCTTCTCATTCACACAATATTTCGTTCAAAAATCATCTTTTACTCAACTATTAAATAATTAATCCTACAACTCGGCCATTCTGCAAATCAGTCTGGCCTCAGACTGAAGCTACTTTACCACAGTTATACTAAGTACTTAACATTTTTTTTTCCTTCTTCATAGACATGTGTTTAAACATACAACAAAAAAAATAACAACACTAATTAGCTTATTCCTTTACAACCACAGGTAGTTTAGGCAGTTTTAGTAGATGTTTAAAAAATACAAAATTACAAAAACAATTACTTAATCGGTCAAAAAAAAAAACAATTTGTATCAAGGCCATCTCTTCATATAATCTGAAGCTGATGTAGTTCTTATCGGCCCTTCTTTACCTCTGTCTATTTTCTCTACCTCATACCTACCCCTTCCCAACTCCTTTGTAATTCGATATGGTCCGTAGAATTTTGGTTTTAATTTTAACGCAGTTCCAAACTGTACACGTTGTATAGCAACTAGATCACCTTGCTTGTACTTCTCTCCTTCTTTACGTCTTTTGTTATATGTCTTTCTATTCTCTTCTTGGATCTTAATATTTGTGCCTTAGCCTCTCTTCTTGTTTCATCTCTTCTACTCATAAATTCGATTCTGCTTTCCTCTTCTAAGTATTCCATAATAGATAAATCTTCCTTCAGTTTAAGTTTCACTCCCGTTAACAATTCAAAAGGTGTTGTGTTAATTGATCGTTGATATGTGCTATTAATGACTCTTTGAAGCTTACTCACATGCTTATACCAATGGCCCGGTTCTTCTATACACATCTTTGTTAAAGTAGAAATAATAACTCTGTTCACCCTTTTAACTTGACCATTTCCGCGTGGTATTCCAGTGGCAATAGTGATATGTTTAATGCCTTCCTCTTGACAGTACTCTTGAAATTCATTCCCTGTAAAAGCTACTCCTCGGTCAGTAATGATTCTCCGTGGGTTACCATAATCTTTCTGGTGCAACTTTAACTTTTCTACGGTTTCCTTTGCTGTCACAGTCTTAACAGGATAAATCCAGACGAACTTTGTATATCCATCAATTACAGTAAGTATGTAGTTATACATTTTCTTAGTTGCATCTAATGGCCCTAAATGATCACAATGTAAAGTATCCAGTGGTAATTCTCCTTTATCAATTGGATTTAAAAAGCCTTCTTTCTTACCAGACTTTCTACTCGCTAATAAACAGGGTACACAGGTAGAAACAATCTTATCGATTTTACTGTCTAGTTTTGTAATGTAATAATCTTTTTCTATTATATCCTTAATCTTCTTCTTCCCGAAATGTCCAATTCTATGGGCTTTTTTAATCAATTCCATATCCATCATATCAGGTAATACCAATTTCTTCTCCAGTCCTTTATAGATAACATCATTCTCTAAAAAATAATCTTCATATCCATTCTTTTCTAATAGTTTTCTGATAATCTTTAACCCTTCATCTTCTTCTTGTGCCTTCTTTATTCTCGCATGTAACTCAACATCAACGAAACAAATGTTTCTGCTCAATGCGTCAACATGTTGCATCTTGTCTCCTGTTCTATGTTCTATAGAATACTGAAAATCCTGTAAGTATAGTATCCATCGTGCTACTTTTGCAGATGCATCCTTTTTGTTCAAGGTTTTTTGAAAGGCTTCACAATCAGTGACAATTTTAAAGGGTATTCCTATAAGATATCTTCTGAATTTCTTCACGGCTTCAATAACAGCTAAAGCTTCTAACTCGTAACTGCAACACTTTTGTTGAACTTTTGTAGTCTTTCTGCTCATGTAGTGAACAGGATGTTGACAACCATCATTAGGGTCTCGTTGCATTAAAATAGCTGCATATCCATGCATAGAAGCATCTGTATGTAATTCAGTTTCCAAATGAACATCAAATATTTTCAACACTGGTTCACAACATAATTTTGACTTTAATTCGTCAAAAGCTTGTCTTTGAACATCCTCAAACTTAAACTCACCTTTTTTCAATAAATCACTTAATGGCTTCGCCATTAAAGCATAATTTTGAATAAACTTCCTGAAGTACGAAGTTAATCTTATGAAGCTGTGCAGTTCTTTCAAATTTTTAGGCACTGGAAAGGTCATAACAGCCTTTGTTTTCTCACTAGATGGTCTTATCGTTCCATTGGAAATATGGTAGCCTAAGAATTCAACAGATCTTTGTAGTATTTGTGACTTCTTCCAATTTATTTCGAGCCATACTCCGCTGCCACCTTCAGCAAAGCTTTAAGTCGTTCAATTCCCTCTTTCTCATCTTTTGAAAGTATAATTATATCGTCAATAAATATCAAAACCACTCCCGTTCTTATAAAATCCGCAAATATGATGTTAATGTATCTTGTAAAGTATTTAGGACAGATAGAAAGACCAAACGGTGCTCTTAAAAATTCATACTGGCCTTCAGGGTTACTCGTTACAAATGATGTATACTTCACCGACTCTTCTTCAATTGGTAAGTGGAAAAAGCCATTTTTTAAATCGAGTGTGCTATACACATTCACTCTACTCAATTTGTCAATAAGGTCGTCGATTACAGGTAATGGATGTTCGTCTTTCACCATTTTCTGATTTATCTTTCGATAATATACGCAAACTCGTACACTGCCATCTTTTTTCTTTGTCAATACTAAGGGACTTGCATACTCAGAATAACTAGGACGGAGTGATGCCCATCTTCAACCAATCATCAACTTGCTGCTTCACTAATAGTTCTTCGGTTAAAGCTAATCTTCTAGGCCGTTGTGTAACTGGAATATCATCTTTTAGAACAATTTTCAGCCTAATGGGTGCTGTGCGGGATAACTTAGTTTAATAGTGTTTGTAAAAGTAATTTACTGTTTAATTCATGTAACGTAAGTCGAAATAATTGCTTAAAACTTTGCTTAAAACTTTGCTTAAAACTTGCTTAAAACTTGCTTATTTTAGATTGCCTATAAAAATGTCTGTATAATGAAATACTATAAGATTTTAATTGTATAACTGGTTTTATATGACTATTAACACATATGTTGTAAAATTAGTACGATAAAATAATTAGGGAAAAAGTGTATTTTCATAGTGTCATCGTAATTAATTAAATTTAATTATTTGTAACAATAGTCATAAGACCTCGAATTCTTTAAGGTAACGCACCAAGAGGGTGCCAAAGAAAAAATGTAAGCTCTCTGATTGGATACCAATACGACAACCAATCAGAGAGCAGGAATTAATTCCCACAGGATCACATAAATATAGCGGCGTTTCGGGGCATCATCGCAGTCGACGAGCATCAAGATCTACCAGTGGAACAAGCAACTAGAAGTCAGCAAGAAAGAAGCCCTGCAGCCTGAAAGAGGAGGAGCCTGCAGCCACTA